TTTACCTTACAAACAGACGCCAGCACGCACGGACTAGGAGCGGTACTCACGCAGGTGCTCGAGGGAGGAGAGCGCGTGATAGCATACGCAAGTCGGACGCTCAATAATGCCGAAAAAAATTACAGCGCAACAGAACTAGAATGCCTGGCAGTAGTATGGGGAATTAGGAAAATGCGCTGCTATATAGAAGGATACAAATTCACCGTATTAACCGACCTCCAATCACTACGATGGCTAGAAAAGCTAGAGTCGCCATCAAGACGATTAGGCAGGTGGAAATTTGAGTTACAACAATACACATTCGAAATACGCTACCGAAAAGGAAGCATGAATAGAGTAGCCGACGCACTATCGAGACAACCGGTAATCGCCGCATTACAAGCAGACACGAAGTGCCACTGGTACAAACAAAAAGAAAACCAAGTTGCAGAGCAACCTCAGTTATTACCGGATTACCAAATAAGGGACGGCAACTTATACAGACATATCCTCCACAGTCTCGATTTCAAAGAGGTACCGAGCCAGGAGCAATGGAAAAGATGCATACCGCACGAGCAACGTCCGGAAATACTACGGGCATACCACGACGATCCAGCAGCGGGTCACCTCGGGATCGCGAAAACAATATGCCGAATAGCTCGCCTTTACTATTGGCCAGGAATGTTTAGAGACATCAGCCAATATGTAAAAAGATGTAAAAATTGCATGGCCCACAAGGCATCTCAAATGCAGCCACCGGGAAAGCTGCACGCCACGGCTGTACAAAAACCATGGGAACAGGTCTCGCTGGACCTTATAGGACCGCCACCAAGATCCAAAAAGGGATACACATGGATCCTCACAATGCAGGACAGATTCTCAAAATAGATCGAGATAAATCCGCTACGTCAAGCAACAGCTAGCGCAGTAGCACAAGGCTTCCTCGAAGAAATTATCTACCGACACGGATGTCCGGATATTATAATATCAGAAAACGGAACGCAGTTCAAATCAGGAAACATGAAAAAAATAACCAAAGAACTAGGAATACAACACCGGTGGACGCCGGTATGGACTCCCCAATGCAACCCCGTAGAAAGAGCGAATCGTAGGATAAAGACAATGATCTCCCAATACGTGGGAAAAGACCACAGAAGCTGGGATGAGAATCTAAGCCAAATAAAATTTGCCTTTAATACAGCGCAAAACGAAGGCACAGGATATACGCCGGCATTCTTGAATAACGGTAGAGAGCTCGCGGGACCTTGCGAATTAGAACGCAAACAAAGGCCTGGTACGACATCAACAAATATCCACGAACAATTGAAGGACGCATATGAACTAGTAACATTTCATATGGCACGGGCGTTCCAGAAGCAAGAAAAATCCTACAATCTGAGGAGAAGGGCCTGGAAACCGCATATCGGGGATATCGTGTGGAAATGGGCGCATACATTGTCCAACAAAGAGAAAGCTATCAACTCAAAACTAGCACCAAGGTACATGGGACCGCTAACAGTGAAAAGAATTATCTCACCAGTAATTGTAGATCTAATCGACGAAAACAAAAAATGGTACAAACACATACATATACATGACCTCAAACCGAACAACAGCGATTAGACAACAAACAAAAATTAATCCCCTCCAACCAAATAATCAAAGAGATCGGAGGAGGGAATTAGAATATTAAAAGAGCAAGCCAAGCGGAGTCAGGACACTAGGAAGAGAGCCAGCAAATCCGCAGCACCAAAAAAAGAAAGCAAAATGAAACTCAACCAAGAAATGAGAAATTGGCTTGAAAACTGGAAACCGCCGACAGAACCGTTACCCGAACAACGGAAAAATTACCCGAGTCGGTTTTGGCCTGACACGCTAAGGACAAACATAGCACAACCAAGGCAAACAAATAAACACACCAAGGAATGGGAAACAGCTATAAAAGAGACAGAACCAAAGCCCGAAGGGAGAAACTCGTCAGACTACAATGGACGTAGATAAAGCTATCGAAGAACTATTAACAACCTGGAACGAGACAGAGGCCCAGGCGCTATGGGACTCGCTGACCAGCTCTGAGGACACAAAACGGAAGGCAGAAGCACAAAGCCAAGCAGCAGGGAAAAAGCTCCCACCAGGGAAAAGACCACCGTCAGACAAACCGGCAAAGCGAAAACCAGCCATCGCTTGCCTTAAAACTCCACCAACGGCAAGAATAGCGCAGAAAAAGCTACAAGCGCTGATAACGCAACAAACGGATGAACGGCCAGCAACACAGAAACGACGGCCACACATCAGGCCATACACGACGGCCACGCCACCAGTATCCCAGGCACCACCTAAAGAGACCAGCGAGGCGCAGAGAAAACCGGACCAGACAAGGAAACTGCCAGAAATCATCTCAGATACGCCGATAACAAACAGGATCCGCATGGAGACCCGCACTCCGCAAAACGTAAACACAAGGCCAACATACAGGATCCCCATTTCCGGAGGTAGAATAATCGACGTGCCATACCACGCGGCGCACGTAACCCACAAATACCGACGGTACGTAGACGGGGAACTATGGCGGGTCAAGTTTACAAAAGAAGGAAAATTAAAGATAGCTTATAAAGTAAAATAGAGTAAGGATAATTAAGGTTAGGTTAGGTTAAGATAGGTTACAAACTAAATAACAAATGGTGAAGGGTACGTTAGATATAGATTATGTAGGGGAATTAACGTGGTGAAGGGTAGGTTATAAATAGAATTAAGCACAAGTAGGATTAATTAGAGTTAAGTTGCGAGTGCCCGGGACAGGCACTACAAAGGGGGGGAGTGATGTGACGATTCGGGAATCGTCACGACGGCCGAAACAATAGCTGTAATACTAACAAGAAAACGCCGAACAACCGCGCGCGGAATAACCGTAAGGTCAACAAACAGTCGAACTGTTTGTTATAACTTAGTATAAAAGCCGACAGAAAATTGATATCGAGAGAGATTGATCG